GCACTAAAGATGTCTGTTTTAAAAATAAAAGTTAAATTTCTGGAACTCAGAAATTTAACACAGTTGCAGGTTCCACAGAAATGGCATCCACATGTTCTACTGGTGAACTTCTGTGGATATGCATGAACAGCAGCATTTTTTCTTCGCATGGTATATTGTGTATGTTGCAATAAGTTATTGAGACAATTCTTAGATGTCTTTTTTTTAAACTAGTGCATGGAATTGTTTCCATATTTTTGCAAGCATCACCTGTACAAGTGTGTGCTACATCTGATGTTTGCCTGGAGGTCAGCTTCAGTGCTCTGGTGAATTTTTAATATAAAAACTATATTTCTGCCAGTTTCTACAAAGTAGACTCGGTTGTATTCCAAGAAGAAGAAAAAGGAAAGAAAATAAAATCCAAACAAAGAATTTCCAAAAAACATGAACAAAACCCCACCTAAAGACTCACTTTGCACCTAGGCACATTTTAACTTGTATGTTGGCAGTCTTTCACATTCTTAGCCACTGCTTCCATACCCTCACCACCACGAAGAAAATTATATCAAACTAATGCCTTATCTTTTCCATGGAAATTTAGTATCGGATGCATTTTTATAGATTAAAGGCCGTGGTAGAAAAATGACAGAAAAATTTGAAAACTGTGATCTCTCAAAGGTTAATGCAACAGTGATCATAAATTGTCACAGAAGTTGCAAAATCTGCTTATGTGGCAATTGGTGTCACATGAAGTCAGGTTATAAAGAAAGCCCAAGGGTCTGGCTCCGTTACAGACTGTCAGAATTCATAAGTGTGTGAAACTGGTAAGGGAGAGAGTCGTCAGCTAAGAAATAAGGTGGGATGCGCAGGACTCTGAGCTGTGCAGAGATGGGGTGACGAAGGAACACATTTAGATCTGGAATGGGAATGAACTTTTTTTCACTGAACCTCTTGTGTGCTACCCACACATTAGCCCTTACTCAGACCGCCTTGTATGTCAGACGTGTCTTGGGTGAAGAGGAGGGAGTGAAAGAGGTATGAAATATATTAATTAAATTATTTTATTTTAGTAAATATCACAAACTCATCCCATTCACAGAAGTTTTAGCAATTACAATTAAGAAAAATTTTGTCCATAATAGGCTGCTAAAAGAGAAAGACCTAGAATTCCAAGTGTAAGCCCTGTACCTACACATTTCCAAAGTCTACATGAAATAATAGGGGTTTCTGAAGTTGGGATACATGGAAGGGGATGTAGAAGAGGGAGGAACAAGCCTGAGAAGATGCATGCTATTTCTGATTTTGGGCCTATGAAATTTATTAGGGAAAAGGTAAAACTCGTATTTGAGTCTCCTAATGTGGCTCAATCTTTATTTGAGACTTTAAATCTTCCTCTAAATCCATCTCGTATGGAATAAACTGTGGTTGCCAGACTCTAAGTGCTGGTAGCATCTCCTGCATTTTTGGTACTAAAATTCAGGTTGCCTGCAAACGTGCTTAACAAAACTCACTGGATCAACCTGCTGTTCTTCCTTTTGCAGCAAGCAAGGTATGTCCCTTGCAGTTTTACCTTGTCTGAATATGTATAACAGTTCTAAAACACCAGAAGGGAAATTGTTAATTCATCTTGATTTGGATCCCTCTGTATGAGGGCTACATAAGCACTCTGCGTCCACCTCTGTCAACTACAGTTTCTTCTGAGTTTCAGTGACATCGTTTGCAGCAAAGGGATGTGGTACTGACTTATTAGAGTTAGTTTGGTTGTGTTTGTGCTTAGAAAAGGAATATTAATTGTGGATGATTAATCTGTATGCTTCTACACTGTTTTCAGTAACTTTCCTTACACCTGTTAATACTTTTTTAATGTTAACAGAAATACCGTGCCTGTCTAATGAGGTTATGATCGTTATGTTTATTTAGATGAACATGTCTGCAGCTGGTTTTTCACATTACCCAGGAGCAGCACTAGCTCAGCAGCTATGCCACTTCCTTGCAGCACTTAGTTGGTATAATTTTCTCTTTATTTTCTCTGTGAAGGTACTGTAAGTGGTATTTTAATCTTGCAGTTTGAAGGGTGTAGGGCAAGCAGCGGTGGCGAGGAAAACTAGGATCCATTGCTCTAACAAAGGATATGCGCAGTTTATCAGTTTCACGGGGAATTTGAGCGTTATTGTGCGATTATCTTTTAATTCACACCCCCCAATTTTTACAGTAGGGCGCAAGGTGAGGATGTAGCCGAGCTGCGAGAGGGCCCTGTGCTGTGGCTGCCTGCTGCCGTGTTCCTGTGTCACCACGAGGTGGGGCAGGTGACAACGGAGCGGGGAGCATGAGCATGCCCGGCGCAGCACAGCGGCGGCGCTCGCGGAGACCTGAGCCTCGGAACGGGTGTCGGGGTTGAACCAGCCAACAGCTAGTATTTGCACTTAGCGCCTTCCTCGTTTGCTTCTCTGTGAGGTTGCTGAGGCGCTGGCACAGGTTGCCCAGAGAAGCTGTGGTTGCCCCATCCCTGGCAGTGTTCAAGGCCAGGTTGGGTAGGGCTTGGCACAACCTGGTCTAGTGGAAGGTGTCCTGCCTGTGGCAGAGGCGTCGGAGCCGGGTGAGCTTTAGGGCCCCTTCCAATCCAGACCATTCTAAGGTTAATGTTACCCTTTGCATCAGTGAAAATAAAGTTTGCTTTGTTTTTCAGGTCCTTGAAAATTATTTAAAGGGCCTAAGAAGTCTTTTTTTGGGGGGGGGAGGGGGGGGAAATAAAACAAACCAAAAAAAAACCAACAGCAAAACACAAAACAACCTACCAGAAAAAACAACCCAAAACCAAAACACAAGCTAACCCACCCTTTTTTAAAAAATGGAATGACTCTCTGAAGTGCCATAGAAGTCCAAAAATTAAATAGTTGATTTATGTCACTTGCCTGTCTAGCCCAGTTCAAAAGTATGAAGTAAAAAAAACCCAACAAACCAAACAAAATGCACCCCAAAAAAAAACCCAACAACCTCCCCCCACCAACAAAAAAATGCTAAGACATGAAAGACATTCTTACTTTTTCCTTGAAAAAATAAAAAATTAAAATTGGTAGGTTAGCTTAGTTTTCATGCGTTGGAAGTTTTATTGGGATTTCCCTCCCCAGAGATTTTAGCTGTAAGTAGAAGTTTCTCTTTGAACTAGTTTAAACTAAGGCCTTCTTTCTTGTCACGCACAGACAGGGAAATACTGCAAGATGCTGGATTAGCTTGTTCGCTTTTCATTGTTTTCTTTTGTAGCAGCAATCCGTTTAGCTATGGTATGCTGAGTTTATCTGATTAGCACTTAATGAGTGAAGGGAATAAGGGAAATGTTGCATGAGTTACTTAATCCTAATAAAGTTTTCAGTACCTTCCCCCTCTTTCTAAATACCTGAACTTTCCTGACCCCCACCCCTTGCTTTTCCCCTCAGCTGCAGCTCATTCCCACACAAAAGGCGCTCCCCCTGCAGCTTTAACTGTCAGAAGTAGCGGTGCCATTAGCCAGATTTTGTTCAGTGCCCATTGGTCACAACATGCATCCTGCTCTACAGTGTTTGACAGTCTGTCTGGAGGTTTTACAGGTTCAGCTGCTGTTGTTATGCTGACTTGCATGCATTACCTGGGAACACTTACTGACTTAAAACACAACAACCTGGAGCACAAGTATTTCTATCTTAAAACCATCAGCTATAACTGTAAGCAATAAAATGGTTTCTTTAGTTCTATTAGCAGTGACATTTTAATAAGGATTCACTGGAGCCTGAATAATTACATTACATAAAGAAATTCAAGAAACATGAGGTTTAGTAATGCTTGAAAACCATGTGTGCTATACAGATTGAGGTTCTGTTACCATAATTATCTCGATAAGTTTCTTGTACAATTCATGTTTTTCTCTGGACTCCAACTTGTTTTCCCTCTTTTAGGATTAATTTTTAAATCACTTCATATTGCATTGTAAATTTTTTAATACAAAAGCAAAATTCTGAAAAATTTCTAGAAATAACCTGTATTAATTTATGCTGCTTAAATAGCTATTTGGTGGTTCTGTTAGTTTTGCAGAATTTTTTTTCAGAATAGATTTCTGCAAATCAGAATAGATTTCTGCAAAAATGCAGTTCTCTTAATACCAATGAAAATAGGTCAAACGATAGCACAACTGATGTCTGCAGGAGATTCCTTATACATGGTAGGTACTGTAGTGGTTGAAGTAATTAGGAAAAAGCTAAGGAAAAAAAATAGATAGTAAGACAATTCTTTTGCTCAGAAATCTGAATCTTTATAGGTAGGCACCTCTGAAAATATTTTCAGTTATACTTGTTTAAAAATACAAATTTTTAATAGCAATTATCTCATTTCTTTTATCACTATCAGTGTCCTGAATTTATAACAATAGTAATTATGTTAATAACTTTAGCAATAGGGGGCTAATAATAGCAGTAGCAATCCTGTTAGAGCAGAATGTGCATGTATGATTTTAAATAATTTTAAGGATATTTAAAGAATGCTAAAGGTGCAGGAATGCACCAATGTGCTTGAAAAGGGTCGAAGATGACTGTGAATGATTTTTGAGGTCTGCACAGTTTACTGCTGAGCATGTCCCAAGGATTTGTCTTCCTGGGTGAGGTACCGCACTGATGGTGTTCACGTTCCCAGTGCATAGCACTTCAGAGCACAGCCTGTACAGTTAAATTGCTGTCAGTACGGAGTCAGGCTGCAAATATTGCACTCTGAACTAAATGGTAGAAATTTCGGAGGAGTAATCCCTGTTTTATCACTTTGCTGACAGCCCAAATAGTGTCGTTTAAATTTCTTCTTGTTTCCATTATTGTTTTGTTTTGCTTTGTTTTTTGTCTGCTCCTGACTATGTACCACTCATGCCAAACTTCTATCCAGCCATCAAGATGGAAGAAAGGTGTTAATCTGTGAATTAGGTATTGAAATATTTTGTAATTTGATTCAAAGCTTTATTTAAATCATGAAAAGTATGTGTGTATGTTTTTCTTTTCCCCTCTCAGGTTTGCAATTATGTGTGGCTATATGTCTCAATTTGAAAGTGTACAAAACAAAATCAGGAATGGTTATCTCTTTAAGGTATGTTTTTGTAGGGTTTTCTGGGTTTTTTAAGCTATTCCTTTAAATTATTTCCTTATATAGTGAAAGACAGATTTTTCCAACACAGTAATTCAGCCTCGCAGGTCTATTTTAGTGTCAATGTTAAAATGAAAAAGATATCTTCATGTATGCAAATATATGCTTACAAAATACAAGAATTAAGGTAGGATTCTGGGAATAGCATTAAGATTTTTGTTTAATTTTGTAGTCAAAAGGGGGGGAGGAAAAGGGAGTAACAATTCTGGTTAGAAAATGAAACCATGAAGTATTAAGTGATGACCTAACGCAGTTCTGCAATCATCCTTCATGCTACCCTTAAGAAGTAATATTTGTTTTAACACTGTCTTTTCAAAGGTAACTGTGTTTTTTAGAGTTAGCAGTTTGTGTTATATGTGCTACTCCCTCCACTCCTTGTCCTCGCTGTTGCTTAGGCACTTTCCATCCCTTGCCCTCTCAGCCAGCATCCCCCCTTTCTGGGTGTCGGTGAAAGGCAGCAGATGTGTTCCACTTCCCAGGGAGTGCCAGGGATGTATCCCTATCACATCATGTCTGTGTTAGGGCTTGGAGTGTCACAGAGCTTTCCTACAAGAGAGCATTAATTATACATGAGCTGTGCCAAGAGATCTAAGCCCTGAGCTGGGACAAGCTGGGAACAACGAAGGGAAAATGACAAATAACGCAAGTGCTGCAGTTGTTTAAGGAAGGAATTTTAAAACAGCCTGCAGTGTTAGCCATAGCCTTTTCAGGGAAGTTTTCCTCTTCAGAAGTAAGTACTGAAATCCATATGAATAATTTGGAAATGTTCAGGATTTGGGGCATGAAAACATAGCTCCTCTCTGGATATTTTGTGGACAAAATGATAAAACAGTAGGCTCTAAGACCTGTATTACTCAGATATTTTAGTGACTGGCTTAATTGGGAAAACAGATATTGAGGGGCAGGGAATGGAACTTCAGAAGTAATATTTATTTTGTGAGGCAGATGCTAGTTAGGGGTGAAGTAACCGATTTTTTCTTCTAACTCAAGTTGAGCAATAAGAGCTTTCTTTAGTAAATTAGGGAGAGAAAGAAAGGTACTCATGATATCTAATGAAAATGGGTTTGGAAGAAGCACCTCATTAGATACTTTCTATGTGTTATGGTTTCAGTGTAAACTGAACTATTTTATTTTCTGAATTTCACATTATAGTAACAATTTTCTGTGTCAGGTACCATTTAAATGGGCAGTCACATTCCAAGGTGGAAGAGACTGTGTTTCAATGATGGGTGCTGGCATGTAAGATCTGTCAAAGAGAGTGATTGCTTTCTCCCTGATTTGGTGTGTGACAGTTTCCTAATACTAACTGTAAATAAAGTGAATTTAATGGAAGTTTTCGCCTTTTAAAGGCAAAAGTTCTTGAGTAATTTGATTGACCTTTAGAGCTGTGTAGCCATGTTGTAAATACAGCATGACTTTTGCATTGTGTGCGAAGTTGCTAAATCATGTTGTTTTTGGTGTCCCTCCACGAGGAAGGGGTTTGCCGGCTGAAAAATTTTTACGTTGTTAGAATGGAATCGCAGCAAAGAGGATTTTTTTATTTGTATATAATTTGCAGCAAACTGCCTAGAATGTAAACACACTCATAAACAAACATCGAAAGTGACTCTGATTTTCTTTCTAATAGGAGCATCTAGACAAAGCAATTGAACTTAAGCCTCAAGATCCTTTTTTATATTACCTAAATGGAAGATGGTGCTATTCAGTAAGTTGGATTTTATCTAACATATCTGAAATGAAATAGTGGGACTTAAGACAATGTAGGTATTTATTGAAGTAGATATTTTGAGCTAAATGAAGCACTACATTAACATGTCCTGAATTAACTTCCATATGTCTGATGTTAACTGCTGACCATTCCTTACATCAAGTAAGTTGTGCTTTTGTGTCCCTCATTGTTGTATTCAATTCTTATCTGAATGAATTAATGAAAAGTAATTGACATTTGGAATTTCAGTTCTTTTTCTGCCACAAACTTTCTGATAACATAGCCTTTTAGCAACTTTATTCCTCATCCATAACTGAAGTTAAAGGCATTTGCATGCCATGCGATTATGTCTGTGGCAGCAAGGATACTGTATTGGCTTGGTAAATTCCAGGAGAATGTCACAACAAAGATGCACACATAAAAATCTCTCTAATTTGTCCGAACATTTTGCAAGGGATACAGTTTTTACTATGTGAATGCAACAGGTGCTTTAAAAATTGTATTAATGATATAGTGGTAAGTGTTTCTATATGAAAAACTAAAGTAATTGGCTTACAAATTCAGCTGTGGACTAATTTTATTATTATTTTTAGAAAAATGGTGCTCGTAGTATGAGTTGGATTATTCTTAAGCTCACATCTTTGATGGTTCAGGTGGCTATCCTTACTAGCCCATCTCTAGCGCTGTGAAGAATCTTTCATCAGAATAAAATGTTCTTGCATAGCCTATGCTGTAAAAGATCATTGGGAGGTTTCTCAGAACAATAACTGCTAATGTGTAGTGACTTCCAACCCTGGCTTTTTCCTATAGCTGCTTTCAGTGCCAGTCACTACAAAGTGCCTGCAAACTGGGAAGGAGTTGCTGTGATAAATTGTAGACATTGTCTTTATCTGCAACAAGACTTAATGCAAAGTAATCTTTCAGCAGTTTTTTTCAGATCATACATTTAACTTTCAAAGAACTTTCAACAACTACATTTTTTCTCAGTTGATGTGAATAAGGAATGACACCAACTTTTTCAAAGAGCTTTTAATTTTGCTTTTCATCACGTTGTATTCTTGAATATCAGCATTAGCTATGCAAAAGTGGGTTGCTGAAGATTGTCCTAGGATATGCTAGCTATGCCTCTGAAGAGCATCTCTTTCACTAGTGATTCCTTAATCAATTTTATACCGTGTTGTGTCCAACAGCTGAATGCGGCTTCCATGTATGTCAAATACTCCCAGATGTTTTTCATGGCTTCTCACTTGAGCTGTAACTTTTGGAAACTTAACATGTAGTCCCAGTACACCTTGCTTTGTTCTTGTTGCACTGGCTTTTAACTCGTGTTTCATTTCAGTGACAATCACCACTTCCTGACTGAGTAATGCATGTAGTTTGTTGCACTGTATCATTACAAACTCATGTTTCACACTTGTAACATTTATGCAGGGCTTCCTTACTAAACATTGAAGTCATAGGTTAGCATTTGCTGTAGGGTATGACCTGACCTGCATTTTATTAAGTGAAACAATCCACCTAAACAGATGTAGCCACTGAAATACTTAAGTATTCGTTTCTGATTTTCTTTTTTTTTAATTCTTGCCTTCTATGACTGCCATGACAAAATGTAACTTGAAGCACTTAAAACAAGTTTGCATAGTACAAATAAATGAAAATATAGGACTGAATAAATTTTGTTGTAACTTCAGTGTTTTGCACACTTTCAGCAGCAGGATGAGGCCATCATTTGGCAATGTTAGTTTTGAGGCTCTACTGTGGAAGCTAGCTCTTAATCGTAGCCCAGTGAAGTTGGTGATCATAGAATCATAACCTCATTCATTTTATCAGACTGCATGAGTAGGTTTCTTTGCTGATCCTCTAACACAGGTTTTGGCTGTGCATGTAATATAGGTACATGTAGGAACTTGTGGAGATGTGGCAGATTCCTTGGTCCTGTTCTGTAGACTGTGCTGTTTCATGCTGTGGTAACTACCCCAAAAGTAGACTCTTAGACGTGGCATTGGCTCCAAATACATTATATGGGGTTATGATAGGGTGCTTGAAAACTTCATTTGTCACTCCTTCTCTGTACTGGTACCTGTAGATGGAGTGATGATGCTCCTCTTAGACCCTCTGTTTTTTCTGTTTAGTCTGGCTGCGGTTGAGGCTGGGAAGGCAGTGTTGTCCAGTGTGAGGAAATTAAAGAAGAAAAAGGGATGACTGAGGAAAGAAGGTTAGTTTTTACATACAGTCTAGCTGACTTTGGGGTCAAGTTAGAATTGGCCACAGTATTTGTTCTTTCATAAGTATAGCTTCTAGGGTGTTACTCTCTAATTTTAGTCATATATTCTTTTACTGAAACAGCTTAATTAAAAAAAGATACCTAGTATTTGATATTTTACAGGCTTTGGTAACACCTTGGGGAAAGCTGATGTACTTAAGTCTTCCTAGTAGAGTCAGATATTTCCTATTCATTCCCCATTTAATGTTGGGGGATCTTATTACTACCTTCTAGCACTGCTTTTTTGGGCTCACAAACTGAAAGAAAAAAATAAGTAAAGCATAAAAGAGTATAAAAGGGGATGCTTCAAGTGTTGTAACTCAAGGTTCCAGTTAATTTTCACAAATGAAGTTGAACAGAATTTTAGGTTAAAAGTTAAAAGTATACTGAGGACAAATGGAGAAGATTTATTGAAGGCTGAAACCTATATCCAGAGACTGTGTGCTGTACTAGTAAAAACTTTTGATTTGTGGGGTTTTGCCAGGATTTTTACAGAAATTTTGCCAGAGACTGCCATTTCTCATCTTCCCTCAGTGTAACACAGTACTTTGCAAAGAGCAATGGTATGGCAATGCCAGGTTTCTTTCTTAGCAGTTTTTCTTTCTGAGCCAGACCTGAAGCTGATGCCAAGTGTCCTAGCACCTTCCAGGAGGAAGGATGAGCTGCATTTTCACTGCCTTGCATCAGTGGGTATTTGCTTTTAGTGCACATCCAGAATTATGTCTCACCTTGTCCAAAATGCAAATTTTGCTGTTTCTTATTTCTGTTACCATTATAAAGCCAGGAGATACACAAATGAGGAAGATTCTGTTCTGATGTGTGTATCATCTCAGCTTTGTTTAAAAGTACTTCTGCAATCACAATCAGGTAGGCAAGATTTTCACTAATCATTTCATAGATGTCACAGTGGGCACAGTTTTGCCTGTGAGACTTGCTGTGTATGCAAGAAGCCACATACAATTCTAATGGTTTTCTGGTTTGTTTTGCAAAGGCGACAAGGGAGAAAAGACCCTTGATTTATTTATGCATTGAGCAAACATAACTGAACACCACTCGTAATGGATAACTCTAACAAGTATTGTTTTAATATTCCTTTTTTTCCAGAGCTGGTATGAACTTCTGCTCAGTGGTGATTTTTTCCCAGAGTAGCTTTAGTGAGAATTTTAGGAAAAGAAGATTACCATATAAGTGCAATGAAGATACTTTATCTAGTAAGTAAAGTAAACCAGTGTTTAGTATGTAAAAGAAATGTTACTATTCCAAAGAAAAGCAACAGCAGCAAAATCATTTTCATTTAAAATGTCTTTGGTAGTGGATGAAATTTTGTCTGCTTGGCCTTGTGTGACAAAACCAGGCTTTGTTAATTACATATCTTTCAGGGAAGGCATAATATTTTAAATACATGCTTGGGTTGGTTCATGCAATTTAAAATAAGTGCAGTGTTTAGAGCCTTTCTGGTTTCAGCTTTGTTGAGGGAAAGTAAAAACTACTTTGTTCTTCAGAGCAGCAAGAAATATTTATTGGAAGTCAATTGATGTGTGGTACATGGTCTATAGGAATAAGTTTTCTTTCCTTAGAGTTTTGGGTGCAATTATCTAATAATCCTTTACAATTATGTGTTTGTGGGCTTTTTTAGTGTTTTAATGCTTAGAATACTTTTAAAATGGAGTGTGTATCTAGTTAAGGCTTATGGCTACTTGCTGCTACAGGACTGGCACATAACAGTTAGCGTGTACTTCTGGATCTGGATCAGAGCCACCGATAAAGGCTAGTGGGATGTTAAAAATTAGATTTCTTGGGATTTTCTTTTTGATGGTTACATGCCATGTGTTGGATGCATCACTGGTTTATCCAATATCTGTACATCAGGGAACAAATTGACTCAGTTCCTTTGTCTGTGTGCTCTGTAAGTCTGCTCCCCTTACTGGAAAGTGAAAAGGCCAGGGAATTCAAGTTGTATAAATGCCTAAATGCCTGTGCAGACTGTCCTGGTTCCTTAGCTGGCAAGAAAGAGAATATTTGTGTTGGAAGCCAGTGTTTGAAAACTGCTGTCCAGTTACTTAATCTGTTCCAGAAGTCAAAACATTGCATAATTATTTAATATAATTTTACATTAATATATTGCAATGAAAAAGAAATAGAAACTCTCTGGGGACATTTAAGTAGATGCCATTAATATTTTACTGAAGCTGGATCAATGGGATGATTTTCCTTTATGAAAGACAACTGTGTGATCTGTCTTCAGTGAGCTATTAGCAAGGAAACATGGGAGGAGGAAATCCTTTAGGATTGTAAATCAGTGAATTGGCTGAATTTTCAATCCAAGTGAAATCTGGGATTTTAAAAGGACTGTCAATGAGCAGGGTTTTCATCTCATCAAAAGATGAGGAGACAGGAAAACAAATTCCAACTAGTGTTTTGGTTCATATGTGATTTTTTGCTGATCCTAGGCTAAGGAAGTGAAAGGGATTTTAGGAAATCCCTTTTCCCAGTACTTAGGGGAGAACAATATTTTCTGTCTTGGTCTTCAGAGGAACATGAGGCCTGGTAGGAGCTTGCTGGGTATGAACTTTATGGTCAGCTGCAGGCTAACTCTGTGGGTGGCTTTCTTCCATCTTTAGTACTAGTAGAGATTTGAGTAGAATAAATGGATGAGAGCTTGCTGTTTGACAGATGTAGATGAAAAACTTTGAGACAAGGGTCTGCTTTAGCTTTGGGATGCTGAAGAGTGGCCTCCTTTCCTTGGCAGAGGCCAGGATGTCATGGTCACTCCCTCCCCTCCAGCCCTAGGGAAGTTCAGGACTTGGTTGAAGGTCCCTCACGCCACTGTTTCCTGCTCTTGAGAGATTGGGACCAGCTCTCCTCATGGCAGCTGGGGAGCGATGTGCCTCCTGTGACCCAGTAAATTATAACCTGATATTCTATGGAAACACAGTGTTCCTTGCAGTGCTTTTGTGAATTTTCCGGCTGCTGGGAGGACAGATGTCAGGACTTTGGAGACCTAAAAAACCAAAACTCACTTTAGGTTTGGAAATCATCTCTAGGGCAAGGACAATCTTCATTCTTTAATTTTGTTGTGGTTGTAGCTAGTACTTGCTGGAGAAGCTGCTTTTATTATTTTCTGCTGTCCTATACCATTCTTGAAGCTTGCATTAAGTGAAATTATGGTTCTGCTGAAGCTGATGAGAGTTACATTCTCCTGGTTCTTGATTTTATATGGAGCTCCAGATACGCTTTGCACTATTTGGAATAACCTTAGAATCCTAGACTAGTTAGGGTTGGAAAGGACCTTAAGATCATCAAGTTCCAACGCCCCTGCCATGGGCAGGGACATCTCACACTAAACCATGTCACCCAAGACTCCGTCCAACCCGGCCTTGAACACTGCCAGGGATGGAGCATTCACAACTTCCTTGGGCAGCCCATTCCAGTGCCTCACCACCCTTACAGTGAAGAACTTCCTCCTTGTATCCAATCTAAACTTCCCCTGTTTAAGTCTGAACCTGTTACCCCTTGTCCTGTCACTACCACACCTAATAAAGAGTCCCTCCCCAGCATTGTTATAGTCCCCCTTCAGATACTGGAAGGCTGCTGTGAGGTTTCCATGCAGCCTTCTCTTCTCCAGGCTAAGTTCAACCTTGACTGCAGAAGTCAAATTTGCAGTACACTAGAGCATGTTACACCAAGGTTTCTGTTGCCTGTGCTTGCTTCCACCCAGAGAATGCTTAATAAAGTTAGTTGATATAGTAGAAATGATGTTTCCATTTCACTGGATGTAGCGTAAGATACTGTAATAAAGTTATTACAAATTACAGACTGTGCTTGTGTGTGTTTAAGCAAAGGGTGTAATTTCCTGTTCATCATTGTTGCTCCAGGACACAATTTTGTGTCTTGCGTAAAAGGGGGCAGACTGACTCAGGTGGGGTGTGGTTCAGCCGTTGTGATGGGATTCACCTCATCTGTCTTAAGCTATCCACAAGGTATAATTGTCTATGCTCCTTTTGTAGTTGAAGGGAAGAAGAGAAAGAGACAAGTGTTCATCCCAGACTAACATAGGTGAAGGGAAATTGCCTTTCACTATATTGACCATGCAAGGAACCTGGACAACTCATATAAGCAAGGCACTTCATTTATGGATGGCTGGAGTTAGCTGCAATGAATTCAAGCCAGTGGCATGTAAGGCTGACTGCTGAAAACATCCAGGAACTCAGACTATCTGTGTAACAAAGTATAATGCTGTAGCCAGCGCAGCTTACAGAAAACTCACTATTGTGCATAGATGCATTTCACTTTTAAACATTAAACGTTTTAGATTGGTGGGATTTGTAATATAAAAACGGCCAAGTGCATATATGTTTGCACTTTTAAAAGTGAATAATGCAAAGCAGCACCTAAGCCAGACAAAATAATGACTAAAACCTCAGTAAATCAGTTCTGATTAAATCTTGTAAGAAAAGAAAACAACTGCCAGGAAGAACTTGTGTTTTCAATAGGTAATTGTAACTCCACATGGAAAAACTGCAATTTTGTTTCCTCACTATTGCATAACAGCAGACACATGTGTGGTAGTTGTATCTGTGCAGTATATGTGCATATACATTCACTTTATTTCTTCTCTTCATCTGTAAGCTGCCTCTATCTCCATGTGAAGAACCTAGAAATACGGAAATCCCCTTCCTCTTCCAAAAAGACTCCTGCAGCAGTAGATTGGCATGAAGAAAACAATTGCAAAAATCCTTCTTATATTTCTTGTGGAATATGCCTCAGAAACTATAGAACAGCTGGGGAAGTTAAGTGTGTGAGGGAATTAAATACATACCTACAATTTGGAGTTTTAACCAGCATGCTTTCTGTGCAGCATTCTGTGCTGCAGTTTTTAACACAGTATGGAAGCACTGCAGCGCAGAGAGGGGAACCATCTTGTTGCTTCAATGAATAAGAACTGTGGGATTGTTAGAGTGCATTTGTAAACCACACTTAATTCGCTTAGAAGAGAATTCAACAGTGGGATATGTGTGTGTGAGAGAGAGAAGCATCCTTAATATTGTTTCTCTCTGGCATATAATTTTTAGTGGTTTTGTGGGAAAGACTTACTGTTGCCATTTAACAAATAAGGCATTAGACTCTGCTGAACAACCAGCAAGACTTGACCAGGATCCCTTCTGTCTCCAAGCAATATTGGTCTTATGTAGCTAGAGTCGTTTGAGGCAGTCCTACACCTTTTTCTGTTGCATGCTGGCCTGTATTTATACTCATTGCAATGGTATTTTGGGGGCAGTTTGCAACAAGAAATACATAGAGCTTGATATCTCTCTAAAAGAGAAGTATTCTGGTTGATGGCTGTGGGTAGTTATGTGTGGATGGATTCTTGTATTTTACCATAACAAACTGACATCTGCTGGGTTGCTGCATTTAGCAGTAACAGCCCTGATAAGATTGGGAAGCCAGGGAATGAGGCAGAAATAAACTAAAGCTATCCAAAGCCACTTTAATTTTTACAGCAGTAGGACAGATTTGAGTTCAAGGCTCAACTCTGTTATTTGAATTGCAGTTTCCTCTGAAAAAGAGCTGTCTCTTTGACTCATACTTCACTTCCAGCTCTCTCATGAGAGGCTCTCTTTCTTTGCATGTGTGTATCCCTTCTGTGTGTTGCCTCTGCATAGGCCAGGCCGTAAATTGCTATGGAACCTTGGTTTTTATCATTTTTAAACTCAGCTCTACTCTGTGACAGGAGCCATGAGTGCTGTGGTTCAAATACTGATGTGAAGGAATAAAGTCCTGACTTTCCTTTACAGATGTAGTAAAGTGTCTGAAGCAGGTGGCTTCACTTCCCCATTTAAACAGGCTCCAGTCTCATACTGCATTTCTTAGCAGCTCCATCCTCCATTAGGGATGTGAGGTGTGTTTTGCCAGGTTTGGTGAGGGAGCCAAATTCCTTATGGCAGTAACCAGAGCAGTTTCTGTTAGTTGTCAGTACATGTAAGGGAAGAAGTCATATATATTGTGTGGCGGTATCACAGTTGCCTACACTTCTTTTACAGCAGCCCATGTTTCTGAAATGAGATCTTTGGCAAGTGTTGTTTGTCAGATTTGAAGAGGAAAATATGAAGCTTATTTCTTAACAGTGGTTGTCACTAGCTTCTGTGTAATAAATGAACTTGTTTTACAAGAGCCAAAAGCGCTTATATTTTGACTGTAGCATTTCGTAATGTTGAAAAGTAGTCAAGTACGTGGGCTATCATGCTAAACTGAATGTCTCATGAAAACCTTAGCAGGTTTAAAACACTATTTCTGGCCTTAGGTTTTAAAAAATTGCAAGGTCTTATGAAACCTAAACTGTACTTCAAGCTTTATGTATTGGAATAGTCTCATATTAATGATGCTGATGTTTTGTCATGTATTTCTTAATATGTACATTTTCCTGTGAACAGAATCTAAAAATCTAAAAAACTGTGCTTTAGCAAATGGCCAATATAAAACATTCCTTTACAGGTTCTTTTGCAAAATAGATTGTATAAGTAGTACAGTGGCACAGGACAATATTTATTCCAAAACTGAGAAGCAAACCTAAAGACTTTTGAGATATACATCTCAAAAGAATATAAATATATATATACATGTTATTATTATAGGTAGCTCAGTTGTCTTGGATTGAAAAGAAAGTAGCTGCTGCTCTCTTTGGGACTCCACCAACTTCAACAGTAGAAGAAGCATTGCAGAATTTCCTTAAGGTAAGTCCTAGCCAAGGGTTTTCCTGTGTGACTGTTTACCAGCTGCTATATGTGACTGTTGTCAAGATGTCTTCTCAACAGATTATGTTCAGTAGTTATAAATCCTGGGCTCTCCTAAATACCAGAGCTCTGTACTAGTAAAGTATTTTTTTCTTTTCTGTTTTAAAATTAGTTTGCAGATGAGTGGCTAGCACCTATTGTCTCTTTCTTTAGTTTTAAGGAATTCTTCAGTGACTTGACACGTTTAATATTTATTGGACTTAATGTGAGATGAATGTAGCGGAGTTACGTATGCTGTTGAAACTAACCATAGCAATAACCAATGATTTGCCCATTTCCGTAGGAGGGTTAACATAAGCAAGGAAGACTTTGACATTGTGACACTCCTTTTTTTCTGAACTGAAGCTCTTTCCATTGAATTTCAGTAGAAGCCTTTCTTATTTGGGGAGGTGAAATTACCTTTATAGTGAAATAGAAAACTCTTGTCATATAGGTCTGTGTTCCTGGCCATTCTACTTCAATGCACAGTTATGAGAAAACAGCACATGAATAAAATAAATCTGTCTTTCAGTGGTTTTTATATGAATAATTTCTAAATCTGGAGCTGAAAAATACAGGTTTTTCACTTGACTGAATTCAAAGCATAAACTTCCATTGTTGCAATTGTTTTCAGACAGTTTCTCAAAGGAATTGAACAAGCATACTTTACTCACTATCAAAAGTACTTACTCTCTGTGCTTTTAGTATATTTAAAGATGGAATGATCTCCTGAATTTTTGATAACACAATATGTTACCGTCTTCTCAGTTTAAGAGATCTTTAAGGTCAAACTCCAGAGGTGGTAGAAATAATTGGAAGTGTTCCCTTTAGCTTCAGGGCATTTTGTGGTGGCCTGCAGAATAGCTGTGGTTTTAAGTCATCTTCTGCAACAAAAAATAAATTCATGTCTAAGACAACTGTTTGAGTTTCTTTTTCAGTTGCTTGATAATATGCAGTTGCGGTGAAAGCAGCATTGCTTTGGTCAAAGGATTACGGCTACTATAAGTTTCACTGATACAATTTTTCCTCTCTCAGATGCTGTTTGTTGATTAAAGATGCTTCTTGGTTAGTAGATAATTAAGATTCTCATCATTCAAGCTTCTACATCCTTGATGTGTTTTAAAAGGAAGACAATCTTGACATTTTTTAACAATCTGAACTTTTCAGAAGATGATAATGTAAAAAGAAAGGTGAACCTAGAGCTAGAAAGGAAAATAACTATAAAGTTGATGAATGCAGTTCATAACCCATTACACAAATCATGAATAGTTGTTGCTTGTTTATTTCTATAGTTGATTGCTATATTTATGTAAGGAAAGAAATATCTAGAGAGAGCAGTGTCTTACAACCTGCTGTGTAAGTGAATTGATCCAATAGATATTCTATAGAATGATCTGAGATCTTTACAAAGCATGTAGGGAGAGTGGAGAACAAGGAGAATAGAAATGTTTTGTGTTCAATATCGGCACCTCATGTGCCTAGTTTAGGGTTTGAGTTTGGAGTTTTCTTGTTTTCCTGGGATTTTTTTTAAGTGCTAAACAGCAGTACACACAGTAGGGATGATTCAATCTGATGTTTGTGGTATGCAGACCACATAAATCTCATCACACTAGTTTTATGTCTATTTTCTTTCCTGTTTTTTATTATTTAGGCGGAAGAAATGCATCCGGGATATTCCAAATGCAATTATGTGTATTTGGCAAAGGTAACCAAGTTCTTTTAAAAATTACGATTTGTAGACTCTGGTATTTGTTTAGTGGTCTGATTGGAAACAAAACATGGTGTTTTTTTTTTCCCAGTGCTATAAAGATCTTGGCCAGAAAAACAATGCACTGAAGTACTGTGATTCTGCACTGTCGATTCTTTCAGTTACTAATGAGGTGAGTTCTAAGAATGATAACTTGTTCTCTTGTGACTGCTGTCTTGTCTTTGGCGCCCATTATTGCACTGTCAGTAATAACGTAACATTTCAATTTTTCTTCTAAACACAGAACCTTCCTTTTTCCTCCACTCTCTGTTGGCTCATTTACAGTTGTCTATATCAACAGCTTTAAAAAAAATCTTTGGGAGCTGTCAAGGACTTGTCTGTGTCAGCAATTGAATTGCACTCTTTGTATTCAGCCCATTTCATTGGACTATCTTAAGCATAAACAGTTGAGTGTGTCACTCTAGCTGTACTGAAATTTTGCCCTAGACCTACTGTTTCTTAGTTGAAAGCATTCCAGATTTTGTCGCACAATCTCTCCTCCTAAAGCCTCTGGTTTGTGATTCTTGTCAAGGCCTCCAGGGCAGTGTGTTAGCTGCAGCAGAGGTAGTTAAGACTGCCTTTGTCCTCACCCACAGTGAAGCTAAGGAGGCACAGTTCTTCCAGTTACATTTGCTGAAACATAGTTTATTCTAAGAGATTATTAGATTCCTTTTTAGGCCCTTTAGAGTATTTTTAGTATGTGGACACAACATTTCTGCAGATATTTGAGAAATTTTAAGTGATATAATTTCTCAAATATAAACCAAGTCATGGCAGGAAGGTTCACTCTGATCTCATGTAGAAGCAAGTTCCATAATTACTGACCTATGACTGGAAATGTCTTACCATCCTACAGCGTGACAAGTTCAGACCTGAGCTTTGTCAGCCTAAGGGACCCCCTTTGAGCACAGCAGATGTGGTAGGGAGAGTGAAAGGTGATTCCAGAGACGAATTGGCCCTATCCAATGTGATTCTTTGAAGTTCAGGGAAAAGACCATTAAATAGCTCTGTAACTTGATTGACAATAAATGCTGTGTGGAGCACTAACATGTTTATGTCAAGTGTTCCTGCTGGGAATAAAGACCACTGCATGCCTCACCAGCAGCTGCTCCTGGGTGGCCTTTATTTTTGGCCCAAGTTACAGTATGTACCAATCATATATTAAGCAATCACTGCTTAAGTTCAGTGTTTCTTTGAATATGTATTGATACAGATATAAATAATCTCTTAACTCTAATTTATTCTTTACTTACTGTTGAAATGTACCTTCAGCTTGCCTATTGCAGAGCACAGAAAAGACTGCTATACATTATCCTTCATTTAGTACCTTACATCTTTGCATAAAAGGTAGGACTAGGGGTGTCAGGGAAAGAGCATACAACTGAAATCGGCTGTGCTCAGCCTGTTTTGTATATATCTGCACTGACTGTGCTGGTGATTTTCTTATTTTTCCTGTATTCAACTTACTACAGGCCTGGTAATCTTGCAATGAGCTCTTAAGATACCTGGTAAAATTGCAAACAAACATGTATTACAAAAGTTCTGATCACAGTATCACAGTATGCTAGAGATTGGAAGGGACCTCGAAAGATCATCTAGTCCAATCCCCCTGCTGGAGCAGGAACACCTAGATAATGTTACACAGGAATGTGTCCAGGCGGGTTTTGAATGTCCCTAGGGAAGGAGACTCCACAACCTCCCTGGGCAGCCTGTTCCAGTGTTCCGCCACCCTCACTGAGAAGAAGTTTCTTCTCAAGTTTAAGTGGAACCTTTTGTGTTCCAGTTTGTACCCATTACCCCTTGTCCTATCATTGTTTGCCACTGAGTAGAGCCTGGCTCCATCCTCGTGACACTCCCCCTTTATATATTTATAGACACTCTGATGGGCAAAAGACTGCCTGTGTTTAGTAAACTGCAAGTCATTCAATATATTCATAGAGACTCCTTGAAAAAGCATAGACATAGTTTAGATTTGGTCTCATCTTTGCTAACAGTAGCCAGACAAAATTTTAGTGACCGAAGGTAGTTGCTGAGGCTTCCCCTATAGTCGGTGGAGAGAGAGAGATGGGTCAGGTTCCCCATCCTGCCTCCCTCTGTCCCCTGATGGCAGAGAGAGATTAGATGTAGAGACAGGTGTAAGCTGTGTACCTGAGACACCTGGCTTCTAGACTGTGCAGCTGATGGGATGTGAATCCTGCCCCTAAATTCCAGTGTCATCAGTCTAAACATAAGCTGGAGTTCAGTGTGTCCTCAGACACCTGGAAGGGCTTAGTCCGTGGTAAAAGGAATCACATTCTTGAAGGACTGTCAGACCTGAGGAAGAAGGAGGACTCTGAGGTAAGAACAGGAATTTGGGAGCAATGTGAAGGGATTGCCATCCAGAGGGACCTTGACACGCTTGTAAGGTGGGCTGATGCCAACCTCATGAAGTTTAACCATTAAGTGCAAGGTCCTACACCTGGGTCAGAGCAATCCCAGGCACAGCTACAGGCTGGGCAGAGAAGAGATTCAGAGCAGCCCTGTGGAGAAGGACTTGGGGGTGTTGGTCGATGAGAAGATGAACATGAGCAGGCTTCAGTGTGTACTCGCAACCCAGAAAGCCAACCGTATCCTGGGCTGCATCAAAAGGAGCGTGGCCAGCAGGTCGAAGGAGGTGATCCTGCCCCTCTACTCTGCTCTTGTGAGACCTCACTTGGAGTATTGTGTGCAGTTCTCGTGTCCTCAACATAAAAAAGGACATGGAACTGTTGGAACAAGTGCAGAGGAGGGCCACGAGGATGATCAGGGGACTGGAGCACCTCCCGTATGAAGACAGGCTGAGGAAGTTGGGGCTGTTCAGCCTGGAGAAGAGAAGGCTGCATGGAGACCTCATAGCAGCCTTCCAGTATCTGAAGGGGAGCTATAAGGATGCTGGGGAGGGACTCTTCATTAGGGACTGTAGCGATAGGACAAGGGGTAATGGGTTAAAACTTAAACAGGGAAAGTTTCAATTGGATATAAGGAAGAAGTTCTTTACTGTAAGGGTGGTGAGGCACTGGAATGGGTTGCCCAGGGAAGTTGTGAATGCTCCATCCCCGGTGTGTTCAAGGCCGGGTTGGACAGAGCCTTGGGTGACATGGTTTAGTGTGAGGTGTCCCTGCCCATGGCAGGGGGGTTGGAACTAGGTGATCTTAAGGTCCTTTCCAACCCTAACTATTCTATGATTCTAAAAAAAAGCAGTCAGCACAAGGTAAAACCAAGTGCATGTGTGAAGGAATTACTGTAAAATGGAGATCTGGAATACAAACTGCTGATATGAAATGTTACCTCAAGTCCCATCTGAATTAGAATATTATGTTTTGGTTTTGTTATTGTATTAGAGAAAGACTATCACTGACTGGGGGGGAAACATGTTGGAACTGAAGTCGTTTAGGGCTTGAACTGTATGTAGGAATAACATTTAGTCCAGTCAGTTTAAGGGAGGGAAGAGACTGTAATAAAACCAAAGATACGTTGGGGAGATAGTAATAAACAGATGCTGATAAAGTGCCTGAATTGATTACAGCCCTGTAAAAGATGGTTTGAAAAAGAAAACGCAGGTCAGCAGCGTTACGAGGATTTCTTTGTTAGCCGCAGCACAGGATTGCAAGGTTGTCAGCACCATGGTGTGTTGTCACAGTCATGCAAAATCCATCATTCCCATGTGTAATCACAGTTTCTCGTGTCAGTTTTCTATTATTCTTCAGGCAGGGGAATTTCTGTATTGTTTTTAAATGTTGGCTTCTACTGGGAAACATGTATATGTATAAAGGCATAAAATCAGGAGCAGACTGAGAAACAAAAGTTGCTGGAAAGGTGCCACATTGAGGAAATGTATAGTATTTCATGATACAAATCATCCCACAGTATAAGTATGAAAAATAATAGTAGACAATGGTTTACTTTTTATTGCTTCTGAGCATCCACAGTTTCCAGTGATTTCAGTGGGAACCAGAGGTGCTCAGCATCAGTAAAATAGCCCATAGCTCATTTTAAACCTCTGGTCAAATTCTCAGCTGGTCTAACTCAGGGCACTTCTTTGACACTTTGTCTAGGATTCATTTCATGTAACATTTCAAGTTAAGTGATACGATTTTTGTCTTGAATGTTGTATTGCATCCAGTATCCCTTCTGTGCATCTGTTCTACCACTTAGAGAATATGTTTTTAATTCAAGGGGTGGAGGGGCTTCCAAACAGAGGTAATTCTTCTTAAAAGAGAAAAAAAAGTCAGATGGACAATTTCAACCCTATTATGAACCTGAAAAAAGATACCAAAGAAATCATAAGAGACAAGTTCTGATTGAACGAGTCCTCTAAGTCCTAATACCTGGTTTAAAAAATAGTTTGGCACATTTTTAATAATCAGTCTCTGCATTTTTTAATTTTAACTAATGTTGCAGTACAATGCACTTTTTATCCTCTCTAAACAAAAAACTCTAATGAATTATATGGTCTTTCCTTGGCCATAAATACTGTCATACTGTGGAGTGGTACTTCACTGTTGGAGGTGTACAGGGCATTAAGTTATTTTGCTTTTCTCTGGTTGCTGTCCAGGTGAATAACCTCAGGGTCCTGGGAAACATTCACCCCTTCATTAAAAGAATCCTAATGTTCAGGGCTGCTGTGAGCTATTGTAAAGGGCTTAACAGCTGCTCTGTTTATCTAGTAGATGTTGCATTACCCTTACTGAGACTCATTACTTTGTAGTGCGCTCAAAGCCTTGCTGAGTGTGACTACATGAAGAGCTGTCAAAACCAGATGTGGTGGACTACTGAGGTGGAAAAAAATGGTTTTTTAAAATTTGAAAACATGAGCATTTGTCTTGCATATAGAAAGACAAAATGCGGGGGGTGTGCTTGATTAAACACGTAGAGCTTTGCATGAAAGGGGAATAAGACACTAATTTCTTTTGTTGGGTATTTTCAAGGCTTGAAATTGTAGAAAATGATAATCTGAATGTAGGATTATAAAGTATAATAGGAAAGAAATTGTTTTGTATTTGCTCATCTGGAGATGAGCATTGGCATGGGAGTGAACTCTGTGCCTGTAGGACCAGTAAGCTCACCATAAAGGGATTTAACAGGCTAACAGAGAAAGTGATTAAAATGTCAAGGTTCTGGTCTCTATGACATTATTTGAAGATAAGTCTAAAAAGCAGCAGTTACATTACAAAAACTATAGTCTTGGAAGAGCCGAAGACAGCAAAGCAGGAAGAACGCAAAGCAAATCTATTTTCACTGAGAGCTGCTGAAAGTCTAACTTAAATTACAGATAAAAATTTCCTTGAAGCTGAGTATGTATTTTATAAAATTATTGGTGACTAAAAAAACCCAATAATGGTTTCAAAAACAATCCCTCCTTCCCTGCGATTACAAATTAAGGCAATTCAGAGTTGAAATTGACAAGTGGGAGAGATTTAGATAGTACAGAAATTGACCACTATGGTATTCACTTCTTACAGGTGATAGAATGGCAGGAAGCAGAGACTTGTTAAAGACTCTGCCTTCAGCCTCAGTGACATTTGAAACTCTAGGAAAGCCCACATGAAGGAGGAGGTAAATATAATAATGGGCAGGAACAATGGCTGAATGTTTGTGCAAGAATGCAGCTGCTGAGGAGAAAGCATGCCTGTAAGATTTCCTTACTTTTTTTTTCTTTTTTCATCACCACCATTGATCTCCTCGGTCATTAATTTCCATTTCTCATATTGTCCATAAGGAAATGAGTGGGGATACAGAGGGATGGAAGAGAAGGCAGAGTATAAACTCCAACACCCATCTGTTGTTTCTATTACAACAGACCATTTGTATACCTGTATATTTTCCACAGCAGATTTTTCAAGAAATCCCTGCTCTAGCTACCATAGACTAGTTGTATGTAGCAGGCCTTGCGGTGATATTTCTAACAGATCTCATTTGAAACTGCTGTGGTAATCTGTCCTTCTAAATAAGATTTGAAGGAGAAAAATGTAATGTACTTTTAAAGTGAAGGGTACAAATTATGACTTGTTTGTGAAAAAAAATACTCATGGAAACTATGTGAATAGTTTGAGTTAAGCTCAAAAATGGTTTTGTTTTCTCATCAAAAGGAACATTTACTTTCTCAATATCATCAGCTCAGTATGTTTTCAGAGGATATTTATTCCTTTAGATTTCATGCACATTTGTTCTCCAAATGCTAAGGAAAAGCCGGTGGTGCTTCAATTACAAAATAAGTATTCAGATTTGTGTTCATTTTGAATTCCAGGCTGTTGTTTTCCTCCTAATAATGTTTGTGGAGTTGAACAAGAATTTCCCAATAGCTACCACCAACCTAAAATGAAAGTATCTTTTGAATATATTTTTAAAAACTATTCCTTAATCACTGTTTTTACACTGAATCTGTATGCTTCTAGCTCAGGCAATGGGTCTTTTAAAAACTCACTATAAAGAGATCAGATTTCAAACTTTAAAATGCTGGTAAAAATAAGACATTTGTAAGAGAGCTGCTAAAAGATTTTGAGACCTCCTGTATTTTACATTATTTTGCACTTCAGAGAATACAGTCTGTTTTTCTCTGATTTTTCCATCTACATGTTTTTGAAGTTCTTGCCAAAAGGTTTGTTTGTGTTGTCTGCTTATTCTTTCTCCCGCTCCAAAAATAATTCCAAAAAATGACTCAGATTTTTTTTTTTGTAGTGTAATAGTTTCATAGATAAGGATAAAGTCTATCCTAATAAATATTGAGTTTATTATATTTATGATTTAATCCACTAGTATCACAAAGTACTCATTTCAACATCCTAGCAAAGGTAACACAGTTTTAGCATACACATCTTAGCACAGCAAGACTGATCAACAGGCGATTCCTCAAAGCATGGAGTGTTATCTTCTATGCTGGTGTGCTGGCAATGCAGGCGCAGAGTGGGAAAAATATTCACAGAGGTGGGGGTGCACTGCAGGATGAGGAGGTTCAGAACTGGTTTCCTATTTATGTAGAGTGGCCAGAGGAAGTCAGGCTTCCAGGAGTTTGAAATATGTTGTCTCAGAGTCAATATACAGGGTGAAAGAAAGCCTCAACAGGCATCTTCCTGAAGGGGCTGTAACTGGGCTAATCATGTTCAAGCTGTTTCAGTGATGACTGCACAGAAAGTGCTGTAGGTCCCAGCATGGTGGGGTCAGCAGCTGGACAGAAAGAGGGAAATGTCTTAAACACCAAAAGGTCCACACTGTGAACAATAGGAAAAGGAAACCAGAAACTTAGTCTTTTAAGTTGAAAAGAACTAGGTGGATAAAAATTTTACATGACTATTAATTATTCTAAATTAAATTCTGCCGTTCTGTAATTCTTCAGCAGTCGTCAAACTTTATTCACAGTCTTCTGGTGCAAAATAGTGTTTTTCCCTCTACTTGAAGGATAATCAGAAAATGTGAAATTACTATCAGCTATGCATTTTAAAGCTGTGCTTGCCTTGATCCTAAAAGCTTTGAGAAGTCACAGTTCTTCCTCAGAGGAAGATACTGAAAATAACGAAAGAACATGAAATGCCCTAACTTGTGACATACAGCTGTCATATAGGAGGTTGCATTGGTTTATTGAAATATCTAAAGGGAAAAATAGTATTCTGCAATTATATGCAATTTAATGCCCTACTACAGTCACACCATCTGTGAGAGTCTGTCATGAAGCTGTGAAGGGAGAGCGTATAACTGTGTATGATTTAAATTGTCCACAAGAGCTATTGCTCTTTAATTAGCAATCACTGTGCATGTTTTGGAGTCTCTTCTGTTGCAGTCCAGGATTTCTCCTGGAGCTGCGACAGAATGATACAGCTGTACCCGAAAGCAGGAGTGGCTCTCAGCACCTCATTGCTGTTACCACATATCAGAGCACAGCTTTGGACAAGCCTGGCAGCCCAGCTCATTTAACACACCATGCAGGCCCGCTGACTTCAGTGAAACCCTACGGGCTGCATGTCAGCTTGGGATCTGGCAGCAGTTGCACACAATTATGTTTTAGTTGGCCAGTGTAACCATTTTGGTTGCGGTCATGGGGGTGTATCATTCTGTGTTGACAGTTGGGACTTTGTCAATGAGTGCACATATGTGCAGTGCCTGGGTTGAATGTGTTTAGTGCATAAGGAAATAATTAGCAGAGATGGAAGGTAAAATCATTATCTTTCTGTCTCTGCTTTAATTGCCGTTTTAATTTTTACATGCATATTTATATGTGTATGTCTGTGTATACATTTATCAGTAAATTTTTCAGCAGACATTAACTGTCAAAATATGGAATACCTCCAGTTAAAGCCAACATTCCCTGTTTCCCACTAGCTCTCTCTTCCCTCTTGCTCTTGTTCTCAACTCCCTCTCTTCCCTTCTTCAGTCTCTGGCCTCCCAGGTCTTTTTTTCCTGTGCATATTCCCTGTGGATGATGAAACATAAAAGAAAAACAACTAAATAGAAAGAAGGGAAAATATAGTCACTGACCCTGTAATTTGAATACCTTTTGTGTAGCAGTTTGCAGAACATTTTGAACTCCTATTCAACTCTGAAAATGATATGAGAAGTGTTTAATAAATGTAAGCCTTGACAGTCGAAAGTCAAGTTTGGAAAATGACTGTGTATTCAGCCAGTGCTGAGCTAAGCCTCAGGGTGAACAAATGGGTCTGACACAAATATGTTTCATTCCTCCTGTGACTTGCACCTCTTCCTCTCCTTGCCATCTTCTAAAGGGAGATCAAAGCCTTAAAAAAAAAAAAACAAAACAACACAAAAACAAAAAAAACCAAACACAAACAGAACACCCTCTTCCCCCAGAAAACCACAGGTCCAAAAATCAGTGAAGAAGAGAGCTGGCCAAGTACAGGATTTATGGCTTTGTCTTCCCATTAACAGTCAAACTTCAGGCATTAATGAAGTTTTCATTCTTAAAACTAGAGACTGGTACACTGAACAGAGTTGTGGCTTCTCTCTCCTTCTAGCATGACATACCTCTTGGTCTGGAAGGACTCTATCCAAAGGTGACATAATAATTCACTGGCCATTCTCAGTTTTGTTTTTAATGCCATTACTGGTTTATTGTTTTTCAGTGCTTTTGACATCTGAGTTCTTACTGACTGGAAGCTGCTGGCTCAATTAACGCAGCCCGTTAAGTAGTTTGCAGCAATAGTTCTTTTTGCTTATACTGATAGAGTCTTGTTTGGAACTAGCAACTCTGGCGTCCAGAGGTTGGACGCTTTGCACGTTTGCGGTTTCTTCTCCAACTAGATCTTAGAACAATCATGGGTTTGTTCATTCTTTTTCCTAAACCCAGTGGAAGATTCAGGGAAGATTGCCTAATGTTTTTGGGACCCTTGCAACTCGTTAAAGCTCATTGCCCAATATAATCCTTTGCTTCTAAGGAGAGAGACAATTATACAAAATCTTTTGGAGATATGTTTTTTAAATGCTGTATCTTTCAAAGTGTGTAAAGAATCCTATCAACCCATGAAATGCCAAACACCCTTGAGAGATGAGAAAATAATTTTTGGCTTAGAAAAGTGTGAAAAGTAGGATCAGATACACTGAAACCTTGGTTCAGTGTATTTTCTTAATAGCAAGGGACAATAGCTGTCTTTTTACTGTTTTGCTTAATGGAGTTAGAATAGTTTTCACAAGTTGACCACAGTCAGTACAGAAGAGAATGTATTTTTCCTGAATTAATCAGTATATTGATACAAATTTTGAATTTCCCAGTTCTTGTTGAAAGCCACAGCCTGGTGCTCCAGGCAGCCTGTGGTGATGTGGAGCTTAAGGGGTGCCGAATTCAGTGTGACATTTCCTTCTGTTAGAGTATTTTGGCAACAGCTTACTGGCTTTGCAGTGTGTGCCTTTTAAGGCCTCTGATAAATGATTAGGCAGATAGTTTAGCCTGTTGTTGCCAGTGGGAGTAAGGCAGCAACTCCAAGAGAAGTGTCCAGCTAATGTATTAATGGCTTAATCCAGACCAATAATATAATATGGTTTGACATGTCTGGCATATGGTTTCTATCATTTCAATATTCTTCCCTATTCCTCCATGACATTATAGACAACTAACCAAAATAAAGAGAAGCAGGAATTTCTTCACCCATAAAATGTATTTTAAAATGTCCTGTATTTTGTTCCAGCTCTTTGGTTGATTGGATGATGAAGTGATCCTGAAATTCAGTGATTACTTCACTGTCTGTCTACAGTATTTTCTTTCAGAATTGCCTCTTTTGTTATCTGGGAAATAAATACTCATCTCTGTCATTAGAAATACTTGCACAAAATTTGTGACATGCAAGTGCTTTTCAGTTGCACTGCTAAGTACACATGGGTGCATGTTACTGGGTGTTTGGACCCTTACCAGCCTGCAGGTACAAGGTGCTGACTTTTTAGAAATGCGGTTTTAAACCAAGGTGCATTTTGCAAATAGAGGTTCTGCAGTGGTAAGTAAAGCAAACGGATTATATCCAGGAAGCATTTTAAAAACTCAGTAGAATAATGGAGTTTTTGTACTGTGGTTACATGTTCATATGCATGTACCTCTTTTCGAATGGATTATACATGGAATAGCTAAAACATATGTCACTGGTTACCTGTGACTAAGAGTCTGTGAGCTGGATTTGGTTTACAGAAAGCCCTGTGCAAACGTGTGCACTTAAGCATCAACCTGAAAGGAGCCTTTCCCTTCTGTCCTAGGAAGTATAATACAGTGTTGGCTCTGAGCACAGCATATTACTTGCCTCTTGCTCCACCACTGGGTTCTCTCTGCTATGAGCCCAGTACCGTAGGCAGAGCTCACTAACACCGGTATGGAAGGTACTGAGGGTGTAGTCCATCCATGCTGGTTATTAGAGGTAGGTATGGCTGTATGCACCAAAACTACAATCTGACTGATGTCATTAATTGCATTTCCCAATATTTTCTTGTCAACTGCATAATAAATCATTAGAAACATCATAGAAATGTCTTTAGTAAACCTGCACACATTTGGATTGCAAGATTGCGTGAAGTATAAGGCAAGGCAGTACTTCCTGCAAAGTACACCAGTAAAAGTTATGGCCTAAGCTAAAAGGCTTGCTGGTCTGCTAAGAAGGCTATTTGTGGCTAACCTTATAAGTGCTTTAACAGAGCTGTAAAGAGAGGGCTGCCATCTGGCTCTTGTTTTCACTTCAAACTTTACTTTTGCATTCACTTAGAAATTAACTTACTATGCAGTCTTTACGTTCTGTGGCAGTTACACTTGTGTGTTATGTCTGTTAGTAAAGAAATGTGGATAGGTGCATATTATACAAATGAAGGGATTTATCCCATCTAAGTTCATGCATGATTGTCTGTTTCTTTCAGGATAAAGAGGCCCAGAAAGACTTAGAGGCTTTACTTCTCACACTGAGGCTGTGACACTACGTGCTTTTTAACTCTTCATGCTGTGATAAAATTGCAAAACTGAGAATCTACAGTGACTGGGAACTGTGGGTGAATTCCAGCTGAGTGAATGGGAAAACTGTCATTGATTTTGGTTGGTTTGGATCATGGCATTTAAGCATCCGGTGATTATGTTATGAAAATGATGGATTCATTTTTTATTATTTATAATCTCATACTGAAGTTTAATTTTAAATTGCTGACACTGTGAGTCTGATTCTCTGAACATGAAGTCCACTGCTGGCAATGGACATACTGGGGGTTAGAAAGCAAAATGCATAGATCTCACTCTTTGTAAGATTAATTGACTAGTATGCGATGCCAGCATAGAACTGTCTGTAGCAAAACCAAACAAATGTTTCTATAGTAAATTATATTTGTATCAACTAATTTACGTAGATGTGTACAGAAGAAAATCATGAATGCCTATGTTTACACATTTTCCTCTACTATTATAAAATTAGAATCTTGTTGAAGTTAAAGCTGTTGCCTCCACAAAGCTCTTTTTACTTTAAACCTACTGTCAGTTTTAAATGAAAATGTGAAAACTTTACAAATTAAATACTAAAATTTTATTTTATTTGCAATATGAAGTACAATATTAAAAATCAGACCAATTGAAATGAAGTGTTTAAGATCAATCTGTTGCAGCTGTGGTGTTTAATGGATTTGTTACTGGACCTCCATCAAGTTTGTGAATCCTGGCTTTTTCTCTTTGAACAGTTGGCTAGCATGGTGGCACCAGTGTGTCTCTGGAGAATCTAGTCGACCATGTGACCGTCACTGACCATTATATCCTCTCTATATATAGCTTAACTTGTACTAGCCTAATTAAAGGCTTCCTACTTCCATCTGAGCATGTAGGACAGCAGTGTTTTCAATAAAATCTAACAGGTAGAGAACTAATATAGTTCACCAACAGACTGACAAAGAATTTACTGAACTCTGTAGAAGAATAAAGGCCTTTACTAAATAAAGAATAAAGGCTTTTATTTCAGGATCTTAATCTAGATGCAGGGAGTGTATCTGGAAGAGCTAAGCATTTCTGGTAAAGGAAATACAATTGGATAAGGATAACTGCACATTGCTTTGACATATTTGATGTGTAGATAACATGGACCAGTTTATGGCTAAGACAAGGAGGACTCATATGGCACCAATATATTGAACTAGCAGTTGGGGCTTTAATTTTGAACAGATGTGGAACAGTGAAATTAGCAAGCAGGAACTACAGTCACCTCAACAAAGATCTAAAAATCGGTCCAATGTGAAGGAGTATGAATACCTGTGACTGAAGCATCTCATAGGTAAGAGTGATTTTAACTACTAACAACAGAAGGCAATAGATACAGTAGACTGGAAGAAGACAAATATGTAGAGTAACATTTGGATTTAGCCTGACTCCATGACTCCTCATAAAATTCAGAGATTTCATAAACCATGGCTGTCTATTTCTTTCAAACATACTCTTTAAAAATACATTTTCAGACATACAAGCATTACTTTCAGATATCTCTGAACAAAATCTGGAAGTTCAGAACTAGTTCTGAATTCTCACTGTTATCTTCATGGTTTTCATTATCCTGATGATCTTCACAAGTTGAAATATGCATTGTAGTAATTTTTAATATTAATTCTGAGGGAAAATAGTTCCTATACCTATTTTTCAATTACAGAGTTCTCTTTTTTTATTTTTTTTAAATTTATTTATATATACACCATTTCAGAGAAAAGGAAAAATACCATATGAGATAAATCATATCAAATAATTCATCTGTGACAGCATAATTGACTTGTGAACAGAGAAGCTGCAGAGGTGACCCATCTTGATTTTGGTAAGGGATTTTTGGTAAAGACAGCTCGTGACATTTTCATTGCCAAAGCAGGAAGCATGGTTTAAATGGATCTACAAGCGTGCTTTGTACTTAGGGTTGTTAGCAATTCATTGTCACCTAGGACAATGTTAGAAGGAGGCCTTTACTTAGATCAATTTTATGCTAATCAATATACTTTATAAAATAAATTGGATTCTGCAATAGATACTTCATTTACAATCATGTATGGCCAATAAAGGCTAAAAGTGTATCAGAGAAATAGATTAGAACAAGAAGTTATTTAATTGTTGAAATTAGGTGACAAGTAAGATTTGCTTCATTCAGGGCAAATAGAAAGTATTGAACTGAACTGAGTAACAGGTAAAGGATGGAAGAGACCTGGCTAATTGTGGTTATTCTATGAAAATGGATATGCAGGTTCTGCTGAGTGGCAAACTAATTGTGGGTCAATAATATAATGTTTTAGTGAAAAACTAGATTTCCTACTAAGCTAAATAAATAAGCATTCCTCATTAAATTCACACAAAATAACCTTTTACTCTAATTACGCCTAATGAGGTTGGAGCTGGAATACTTTATCCAGTTTCAGGCACCGCACTTCAAGGAGCTTGGGGGCTAATTGGAAAGAGTCCAGTGGAGAGAGACAAGAAAGATGAGAGTGCTAGGCAATATAATTTTGTATGTAAAACTGGAAGAATTTGGTTTGTTTAGTCTGCAGGAGCAACGACTAAAGGAATATTCATATTTGTAAAAAGCTGTTACAGTGAAGACAGTAAAAAATACAGAACCAAAAGCTTGTTCCCCAAATCCCCTGTTCATAGGGCAAGAAGTAATTGCCTACCTTTAGATTAGGCATTTGGAGAAATAATCCTGATGGTAGTTTTGTAAGATCCTGCAGTACATTTCCTGAGAACATTATAAAATCAATTACACAGATTTTTAAACAAAGACAACTTTAAACATTGGCAGTGCTTAAGGCACAGTTCATCTTCTGGCAGAGGTTGGACCAGATGACTTCGTAAGATCCCCCCTAGCCTTCTGTCCCTGGAGAGTGCACAGCTCCAGGCCCCCTACAAGCCACAGGCACTCCTGCTGAGTTTCTGCAGTCAGTGGGATTGTGTCTGCACGCACTGGCTCCGCATTTGGGTCCAAACTACCTAATGAATTTGTACTGTGAAACATCTACCATCATGTTTCAGGACTTGAATTTAAAGATAGGCATCATACTGGCCTCAACTATTTATTTATCACACTTGTGGTTTTAATCCACATGTTTAAATTTTTAAAGTAAATTTCTATTTTTTTAAGTGAAATTACCAATTTTTCTTTTCAGCCTTTTGAATTAAGTCCATTCTCCTGTTAAAATTTTTGCTCATTACTAGTTATGTGTAGAATCACAAAGTAACATCTGGGAGAGAAAAGGCTGTTTTTAATTTTAATTCTAAATTGTCTTTCATAGTTTGTAGAAATATTCCTCACACAGGTAGGAAACTGCTGGTTTACACAGACAAGATATTTTGTGGGTTTTAAATTTTTTACTAGTTAGTGTACATAAGCATTCTCAACTTTTCTGTGTTTTTACTTTGCTAATCTGAGAACCTTTATATTTGGAGCATGTTCCCTAAATTGTTCTCTAATTGCTCATTGGAATAAAGCTTTTTCATTTAGTTCTAGGCCTAGGCTGTCTGTTCTCTGTGTCATATCTGCTGGAGAAACAGCAAGCATAGTTCCAGAGGGACATATGTTTTCTTTTTTGTTTAAAATATCCACAAGCAGACATTCACTTCCGTAGTTTTGTCTCCGTGGAGGAGCTAGAAGTTAGCTGTATTAACCCCTGCGGGCCTTGAAGCTGTATGGAGCAGATGGGGCTGCAGGCTGCTGGAAGCCACAGTGCCTTGGCCATGTTGCACAATATTTCCTTCAGCTCTCTCCCTGTGGCATCTCTTCCTTCGTCTTTGCTCCAGTACATGCGCTGTATATTCTCCTAGGGAATTCATCTCTTTATACATTTGTAAAAGGTGGGTTCAGGGGGTCTTTATCTGGTACTTGTGTTTCATTAAAGTTAAAATTACTAGTTCTGCCTTCCTTGGACAACTGAGATACTTTTGATTTCTTGTGGTGAAGCTAAGGGCTCTGTCATTGGATCCTGGTCCCTGTAGGATTGTCCCCCTGCAACAGCAGGCAATCACAAACTTAAGTTATATTGTGGAAATGTTTAAAATGATACACTCTCAAATTACTTTGTTTAAATTATTGTCTTTCCTTTTGCAGAATTTTAGGGTGATTTACTCATTTTTATGTTGTGATATCAATATACTAACTTGTGGAATAAATTAGGAAGCTGCCCAACAGTGGAGAGTAGCTGACAAATTAGAAAGGAAAGTGAAAATTCCTCTGTCCAATTAATTTAAAAAAAAAACAACCCTAATTCCACACCTGAAACCCTGTTAATTATAGTAGTAAAAGCCTGAACTAAAACAAAACCAACCAACCATAAAGAAAAATAAAGTGGCTCCCAGAGATCTACCCAAACGTATCTGCTTATCTGAATCTACTTATCGTCAGCCAGCACTACCTGAACACCTTCCACCTCAAGTACCTAGAACTGTAGGCAGGTACTGTGGATTCCGGCAAGGTCTGTGGGCTTTCTCAATTTTTTCTGTGCACCCTCAATTTTTTCTGTGTCTGTGGTGTTTTCTTTCAGTGGACACAATGGTCCTGATGGATACATTACCCCTATGCCAAATCAGAAAATCCTGCAGTAATGTGACAGTTAAAATTGTACTGCAGGAATCATGCCTGTGAACTCAAGGAGTAACTTTCCCTGAAAGGCAGACATTATTGTTACCTTTTTTTTTTTCCTTCTGACATAAGGTTATATTCTTACTTTCCACCACTTTCCCTTCTTAAAGACTCCCAAGTTCCTTGGAGAAGAAACAAATCAAGTGCCTTGACAATACAAAAAGAAATAAGCTTTTCTGGCCCCATCTATGTTTGTGTAACCCATGTGTGACACTGGTAAATGAAGCACTCGAACTAAAAATGTTAAACATTAATAATTCTTTTTTTTCCTGAGGAAATATTTTACTTATTTCATTAAAATAAACAAGCAGTCATTCTAGAATTATCTGTGGGAGCAATGTCCAGCATGAACTTGAATATGAACAATCTGAGCTCTGTGCTTGGTAGTGCTGCTGACCTGTAATGTGACTGGGGGATAAGCTACTTGGTTATGTACCCAAGTTACATGATGCAAACACTGTCTATCTGCTCTTCATGTCATCTTTATTAATTCTAGGCTGGTTTGAATTCACTATCTATATGAGTTAAAAAAATAGTCACACAATGCTGACTGGGAATATTGTAACCTAAACATGTCTTAAGGATATGGGACATGAACGTGGATGTACTTTTCAAGCTACAAAACTGAGTTCAGGTTTCTAATTCATGGATAAAGGTAATCAACATGGCTGATGAAATGTCATCCTCCAGGTGAGAAAGTGTTCTTGTTAGTCGTTCAGAAAAATGTAGCAAGTCAGCAAAATGGATTCAGCAATTTATTTGTGTTTTCCTAATCTCAGAAGAAGATAATCACAGAATCATAGAATCAGCTAGGTTGGAAAAGATCTCTAAGATCATTGGGCCCAACTGTTACCCTGGGGCTGTCAAGCCCACCACTAAACCATGTCACTAAGGGCAAACTGATCTCCCCTCATGGCTGCCCCTCATGGTTTCCAGGCACTGCCACCCCTCATTTGCTCTCTTGTAGTGGCCCACACTATATAACT